GAGAATGAACTTGCTCTCCGAGCCCGTGTTGCTGGGCCGAGTGCAGCCGAGCCCGGAGCTGCGTTCGGGCGGCCGGAGCCTCCCGGTCCTCCCACCTTCCGTCTCTCCTCCCAGGACGGCCTGGGTGCAGAAGATCAAAGCGGCGTCCGAGCTCTACATAGAGACGGAGAAGAAGAAGCGGGAGAAGGCGTACCTGGGTGAGGCCCTGCCACCCGCGGGCCCTGGGGGGGCCGGGCCCTTAGAGCAGAGAGTGCGCCTGGGGGTGGGGCCGGGCCCTGAGAAGGTGGAGGTAGAGGAAGAGGGGAGTGGGGTGCAGGATGGGGAGCCAGACGCAGAGTTTAAGGCGAGGAGGAGGGTCCCTGAAGGGGAGGTGCCTGAAGCGGGAGGCGGGCAGGGCGGAGAGGGGTCCGCGGCTGATGAAGCGTCTGGGCTGCCTTTTCCGCGTCGCAGTCCGTTCGCAGAGGGCGACGGGGATCGGGAGGCTGATGGTGAACGTGGTGGAGGGCATCGAGCTGAAGCCCTGCCGGTCCCACGGTAAGGCCCCAGGCGCCCGCACCCCACACCCGCCCAGTCAGATGCCGTTTCCCTCCCCCCGCGTTTCCCTCCGGAATGGTTTCCAGCACTTGCTCAGGACCTGTTCTGTTCCTTGACTCCCTCCCACCGTCTGCCCTCGGGAGGCGCAGGGCGCAGTCTCCCAGAGCGATGGGGGCGGCCCCGCGCCAGTCACGCACCGCCATGGGCTCCTAGTTTAAGTGATGCCGGTGCGGGAGCTGCCACTTGTTAAGTGTTTAGTGAGGGAATAGACGTGGCTGCAGAGGGCAGGGCTGCCCACGTGACGTGACCCGCCCACACCCCGAGAGCCTGCCCTGCGCCCCGAGAGCCCGCCCCGCGCCCTGAGAGCCCGCCGGGGGGAGTCAGCAGGCCTGTTCGCTCCAGGGAAGAGCAACCCGTACTGCGAGGTGACCATGGGCTCCCAGTGCCACATCACCAAGACCATGCAGGACACCCTGAACCCCAAGTGGAACTCCACCTGCCAGTTCTTCATCCGGGACCTGGAGCAGGAGGTGCTCTGCATCACCGTGTTCGAGAGGGACCAGTTCTCCCCGGACGGTGAGTCCCGGCAGCC